GTGTTTCAAATGATCCTCCAACTTTTCACTGAAGAGTAGAACATCATTGATATATAGGACAACAAATGTGTCCAAATAATCTCTGAATATTCTATCCATTATAGTGTTGAACGTTGTCAGAGCATTTCATAACCCAAACGACATGACAAAGAACTCATAAGATCCGTACCGAGTTTTAAAGGCTATCTTCTCCACATCCTGATCCGCCACCCATACCTGATGATACCCGGACCACAAATCAAGTCGCATAAAATACTTAGCCTTTAAGAGTTAGTCAAATAAGTCATCAATGTGAGGCAAAGGATAACTGTTTTTAACTGTGATCTTGTTGAGTGCCCGATAGTCAATACACATCCTCATGGTTCCATCCTTTTTCATAACAAAAAGGACCGGCACTTCATAAGGTGACTTGCTTGGTCGGATATAACCTTTGTCAAGAAGCTCTGTGAGTTGCTTTTTGAGTTCAGCCATCTCCTTGATGCTCAATCAATATGGAGCTTTTGTAGGTGGTTTAGAACACAGAATAACCTCAATCCGATGATCAACCTCACAGCTAGGAGGTAGCCTTGGCAACAAATCCTTCGGGAAGATATCCTGATTCCGCTCCAACAACTCTAATATCTTCTTTGGTATAGGATCAACCCCGTCACTGATCCGAATTGAGTCACCCACACACTCAACTTTCATCACTTGAACCCAAAAGGTCCAACATCCCTTCTTAGCTGCTTTTTGAGCGGCTCTCGCAATCAGGAACTTAGCATCCCAATCCTTTGAGGAGCACTTTTGCAACTGGAAGGACACATTAGGACATCCTTCTAACTTCAATGTGATGCAACTTTGTCCAGCACCATAAATCCCTTTTATATATTTGTTGAAGAAATCCATACCAAACATCATCTAAAAATCTGGTATGTTCAACACTACCATGTCCACTCTTTCTTTCCACTTGGATATTTTTATTGGAACATCACTCACAAACTTTCTGGTTACTTGCCCACCTTTTGCAAACTAGAAGTGCACAGGCGACATTTGCTCAGCATTCAATCCTAACAACTTAACTAAGTTTTTGGATATCACACTATGCGTAGCTCTCCTATCAATTATCACTTGGATTTGGTGTCTGTAGACAAAGCCTACCAGGTACATCAATAGATTAGTGTTTGCATTGACTGCCAGAAAAGCTTGAGGAAAGCAACGAAAGTAACTCACCTCCTTTTCCTCATAGTCTGCATTGACCAACTCGTCAACCCTTCAGCTTCACCACCATTGTCTTCCCTCATGACATTAACACGAGACATTTTCTTATGCTTGTTGGGACATTCCGAGGATCTATGTCCTGACTCTCCACAATGGAAGCAATAACCCACACTATCCGTTCCGCTAGGAGCAAGTTTTGCAGGTTGCTACTGTTTGTACCCACCAAAAGGAGGAATAGAGGGTCTAGGACTAGAAGAAGCTACTGGTGGTCTCGAACCACCACCACCACCTTTGTTAACCGTTGCTTATGAGCCCCCGGGGCAAAACCTACCTTCCACCCTCTGTTTTCGATCACTTTGTTTATTCCCAGAATTCTTATTTTTGTCCGAGGTACTAGCATACGGCTGCTGATATTGTTCTATGAGTGAATGGCTAAAGGCAACTTGTTGTGCTACCTCCTTACACTCTAGGTACATCTTTGGCTTAAATTTCAAAATCTCATTGTGAGAAAGTGAACTTAAACCCTTTAGGAAATAACTCTGAGCATCTTCATCACTCATATTTGCAACCATAATGTGCTTCTGAGAAAATGCATTAACGTAATGCATGAGATCCCCTCACTACTTTAACCGCCGCAGCTCTGCGTGAAGTCTCAGACCAAGATCATCCGGCAAGTATTCCTTATGGATATAAGACCGCATCTTGGTCTGCCCTTTTTCAGCACATACCTGGCACCACCAAGTTTTGGCATGATCGGTGAGAAAAAATTGCACACACGCAACTTTCGTATGATCATCTACGTCTACCGCTATGAAATAATTTTCCATATCGTAGACCTAGTCTGATAGTCCCGCATGCTAAAATTGGATGGTTTTAGAGGCTTGAACTTTGAAACTCATGCAACCGGGGGCGATTGTAGAACTTCATCATCCTCAAAACTTGAAGAAGAGTCCGGCTGCTTAGGCTTAGCTAGTCTAGCTGCCTCAGCTTCTTTCTTCCTCTTCTTGTTCTCCTTCTTCAATTTGTGAATCTCCCTTTGCAAATTCTTGATCTCGACTTCTTGAGCCGTACGCTGCAGTGCCGCAGCATCTGGCTCTTCCTCTTCTAACTCAGCCTTTGCCTCTTCCAAAGCATCTCTAGCAGGAGTTTCCTCCTCTCAATTCGCCTGTCTAGAGGTTTCAACATCATCAGCACAGTTCCGTTTCACCATTCCGCTAGCTGCATGCATGCCTCTATCAATAATTGAACATTCATACAACATTCTTACCGAATGGTGCAATCCAACTAATTTTACATAGGTTGCTTTGGATCTACTAAAAAAGTCTCTGCGTATGCAACTTGAGTCAGGAAATCTGACAAAAGTTGGATAGGAATCGTTGTGACATTTCCTCTGATACCAAATGTAGCACACCTAAATTTGGAGCCAAACTCCAAGCCCGTTGCTCTACGAAACGAGGGTTTGGTACAATCCCATGAGCACCAGCTCCCTATATCCAACACTTGCATGCAAAATGGTGTTAGACGAAGTCTGGCACAATTTTGGCATAGAATTCTGACACTATTTTGGCATACCGGTGGCCTAACGCGAGAAGGGTACCCCAGCAACTAGAGCAGCATGGAGCTTGTGCTTAGACCCAAGCTGAACGCAGAACAAGGAGCGACACAGCCCAGCATGAGCCAAACTAATATCTAGTCGCACATGCATTCCAACCATTATCCTTACTATATACTTGGAACCCCCCACATCCCCCCTTCCCCCCCCCCCCCCCCTTGAGGAACACATACTTTGGGCTTTCACAAGCCTCCCTTAGTACTAGGAGTTAGTCTCTGAGACAAGTTCGAAACTTATTAAATATGGAATGTCCCTAGATTACGAATTTGGACACGGGACGAACACCATTGTGTTCATGCCAATCTCTACATTCTATAGATATGCCAAATGAACAAATCCAAACACTTTCCATAAATAGCATTTAAAACTAAAATGAGACCAACACAAAGGGCATGATAACGAGGGTGTTTGGCAGTCACGATAAGCTATCATTCAACGATATTGGGGATTAGTCTCAATACGTGGGTTTCTTGATACTAGCAAGTGCAAGACAATGACACGAATTTCTCAAACTAGGCCGAGTATGCTCAACAAAAAACACATAGGGTTCTTACCTTATGTTTATCTAATTTAAGTATAAGGTCATTGACTAGTTTCTCAACTAGCTCAAGTGAGAATGATAAAGGGAATCAACTGTACCAACCTTCTACCCTCATGGCAATAAGGAAAGAGTGTCTGTAAGGACTGACCAACAAATATCTTTCGATACCCAAAGTCACATTTGCGACAATAATATTCTATACTTTCAAGTAGTTGTGCCATATTAAGAGCTAAATCTTGCAAAAACATGTGGCATTGCTTTTGAAGCACTAAAGCCAATCCCTCTCTAGTAGCAAAATCTAGAATTTTATATATAGGAAACTCTAGTTCAACTTTACAAAAGAAAGAAGTGGAGGTGAAAGTGGAATATTGGTAGAACTTGGGGATGGAGATAGGGATTGATATAAAATGCTTAGGAGCTAAATACAAGTACTAATGACTTTCTATATAATTATTTATTTTCTTCTTTAGTGCCATTACATGATTAATTTCTCTCTCTTTTGACTGGTGACTAATTAAGTATTTCTCAAAAGGGCAAGGGACTAAGGAAAAAAGGACAAAAGGTATCTTATAATATTGGCTAAAGTGTAAGGTGATATAAAGTTTAACTTATGAGAAAATTATGAAACTTAGAATACATGTCCTCACATACCAGCCTTTAATTTGGAAAAAAAAAAAAGCCATTTTTGGTGTTGTGTATTATCCCATTAAATATGTATTATACCAGAGACCATCTAAAACTCAAATGCATAGATTTAGAGCTTTGGCACAATTGCTACAACTTGTTGATGGTGGTGTGTTTTTTATTAATGTTGCTCAACATGTTTATGAAGCACGCAAACAATAAAGCAGTTGTGCAAGCTCTAAATCTTAATTTGCCTATGTGTTTGAATTCAAAATGGTCACTGTACTTTTGTACCACTGTCACATGCCCAAAAAAGGCTTATAAATATAAAAGGAATAGCAACATGGATAAATTCATAACAAAAGGTAGTGCGTTCTATAAAATAGAAAAGTGTTGCACCTATTTCAAACCTTAGGGCAGAGCACAAGAGATGGCGATTGAGCATCCGGCGTGGCGGAAGAGGGTGCGGCGCAGCACGACCTGGCTGGTAAGAGCCATCGCGAGCTTCCTTGGCGAGTTCTACAAATCATCGACACAGATCAACGAGGCAGCGGCGGCCCTCTGCCGGAAGCAAATGCTAGTGGATTTCGTGTACCAAGTCAACACCATCAACGGCGAAGGCTACGATTCCATCCCTCAGACGCGGGCCGTCATTGATGCAGTTACTCGAGGAGACGCGCAGCAGCAACACGAGGAGGATTTCATTGTCACCGTCAACCTGCACGACGCCTATCGCCTGGGGAGCAAGCTGCTGGCGAGTCCCGGCAGCCAGTTTTGACGATATCGGCCATCCAGAGGCTCCACAAGTCCTCTTCCAGACCGCGATGATGGAGGGGAT